ATGTGTGATGCCTACCACCGCATGGCGTGCCAAGCGATGCCATGTCCACACCCGGGATCTGAACCAGCGAACCCTGAGCTGCTGAAGCAGAATGTGTGCACTTAACCGCTGCGCCACCAGGCTGGCCTCTTCATCCCATAAATTTTGATATTGTTTTCATTTTTGCTGAGTTGAAAATATTTCCTAACTTCCCTTGTGACTTCTCGTTTTCACCTGAGAGTTATTTAGAAATGTGTTGTTAATTTCTAAATATTTGGAGATTTCCTAGATTTCTTTCTGTTCCAATTGTTTTAGTTGGATAATACACTTTGTATGATGTAGATCATTTTAAATTTAGTCTTATTTTATGACTTAACATATGACATATCCTGTAAGCACTTGAAAAGAATTTGTATCCTGCTGTCGTTGAGTGTTCCATATATCTTAGTAAAGTCAGGTTGGTTGATAGTGTTGTTTACGTCGTCTATATCTTTGTTAATTTTCTGTCTAGTTGTCCTACCAATTATTCAGAATGGGGTACTGAGTTCTCCAACTATGGCTACTGAATTTTGTATCACTCCTTTCAATTCTGTCAGTGACCCTGTTATTAGGTATGTATACATTTATAATCGTTAAATCTTCCTGATGTGTTAAATTTTTATCACTGAGATGTCCCTCTTTGTCTCCAGTAATATTCTCATCTTAAGATCTATTGTAGGAGGCTGGCCCTGTGGTCAAGTGGTTGAAGTTCTGCGCACTCTAATTCAGCAGCCCAGGGATCTTGGGTTTGGGTCCCAGGTGCAGACCTACTCCACTCATTGGCCATGCTGTCGAGGCATCCCACATACAAAGTAGAGGAAGATTGGCACAGATGTTAGCTCAGGGTGAATCTTCCTCACACATACAGAAAAAAATCTATTGTATCTGATATAGCCATTCCACCTCTCTTATGGTTAATATTTGTGTATTTTCCTTTCATTTTCAACCTTTTAGTATCTTTAAATTTAAGGTGTGTCTGATCATCCTTACTTATCCAGACTGACAATCTTTGCCTCATGATTGGGGTGTTTAGACCATTTATATTTAATATGATACGAAATGTGATATGATTGAATTTCTGTCTGTCATTCTTTCATCTGTTTTCTACATGTCCTTTGTAATTTTTATTCTTCATACTTATTGACAGCTTTCTTTTTTGTCAAATATCTTTCATTGAACATTTTAATTCCTGTGTTGATTTTTTTTACCTTTTTGTTTTCTTTTTAAATGGCTGCTCTAGGGTTTAAAATGTGACTCATAATAATCTACTTAAGATTAATACTACCTTAATTCCATTAAAATATAAAACTTTGCTCCAGTGTAGCTTGTTTCTTCCCTTTGTGCTATTAGTGTCATTGATATTGCATTGATATATATTATAATCACAATAATGAAATGTATTATTGCTTTTAAAGACATTAAGAAACAAGAAATATACCTGTCTATCCATGCATCTGTCCACATGTTAACCATTTCTGATGCTCTTCATTTCTTCTTTTGACTTTGAGTACTGTCTGATATCATTTGCTTTCAGCCTGAAAGAATTTCTTTTGAATTTCTTATCAGGTAAGTCTGGTAGCAATGATTTCAGTCCTTGTTTATTTGAGAATTTCTTTATTTTGCCTGCATGATTTGAATGATAGTTTTGCTGGGTATAAAGTTATTGGTTGGCAAGACTTTTGTTTCTTTCAGCACTTAAAATATGTCATTCCATTGCCTTTTGGATTCCATAGTTTCTGATGAGAAGTCAGCCACTAAGGCATTGCTGCTCTCTTGTATGTGATGAGTTATTTTTTTCCTGCTGCTTTCAAGAGTTTCCAGTTTTGGCTTTCAACAGTTTGACTACAATGTGTCTAGGTATGTATTCTTTGTATTTATCCTACTTGTAGTTTGTTGAGCTTTTTGAGTGTGTAGGTTAATGTTTTTTTTAATTACATTTTGGAAGTTCTCAGCCATTATGTCTTCAAATAGTTTTTTCCTCTTTCTCTCTCCTTTTCATTCCCACTACACATGTGTAGATTCACTTGATGTTGTCCCACAGGTCTCTGAACCTCAGTTCATTTTCCTTCTCAGGCCTATACAAGTCTATTTCCTAAAGAAACTTCTTCTTATAAACACACAAACACTAGACAAGCAGAGGGACCATAGAAGCTGGTGTTAGGCCAGAAAAATTCAATGAGGAACAATACAAATCTGATCAGATCAAGAAAAAGTACCAGAGCACCTTAAAATTAGGAAAAATAAACCAAACACAAAGAAGCTTCATTGAATATTGGGGCTCATTGTACATTAACTTTCCACTCAGCCATGGGCAAGTTGGCACCTAAACAGGTAGACACACAAAAGGTCTCAGATACGCACATTCTCACTGACTCAAGGATCCTGCTCTGAGGCAAAAAGGTCTCACCTGGTTTTAGCTGAATCTTGGCAAACTTCAATTTCTGTCAATGCCTTACAGGCAAAGACCCTAAGGAAAACAACTGTGGCTTAACAAGTTTGGCTTACTGATTAATTAAAAGAACTAAAATACACATTATAGGGAACTATGAGCTATCACAATAATCAGATATTAAAAAAGACTTAGGAGTTGGACTTATGTGAGGTATTTCTGGAGAGGATTCAAGGAAGCAGGGCTTTGCTCGGCATTGGATGCTACGAGAAAGTGGGGACAACCGCACAACTGGTATCTTAATAAATCTTATCCAGAAGGTGATAGGAGAGTGATGCCAAAGCTCTGATGGGTTAAAAAAAAAAAAAAAAACAGCAGTTATTCATGTTCCAACTAGGAGAGGAAAATGCCATTTATGTGGTTTGAACGATTTTCAAGGTTTTTGTCTGCATTCAATATAATAACACACTGCTCACATTTTCTCTTGATCCATCATGATTACAGTGTGGTATCTGATGCCCATATTCTGTTTATGTTCAATAAGAGCATACCACTGCCCAGCTGTGAATACTCCTGGCAATACCACAGGATAAATAATAGTACCAGTCCAGTTCCCAGATATCCAGGGCTGCTTTTCCCTTTCTCAATGTGAAAATCCATTAATGACTTTTTTTTCTTTTTGCCCTGAGCTAACATCCATTGCCAATCTTCCTCTTTTTTTGGTTGAGGAATATTAGCCCTGAGATATCATCTGTGCCAATCTCCCTCTATTTTTTTGTATGTGGGACACTGCCACAGCATGGCTGGTGAGTGGAGTATGTCTGCACCCAGGATCTGAACCTGTGAACCTGGGCCACCAAAGCGAAGTGTGCAGAACTTTAGCCACTTGGCCATGGGGCCAGTCCCCAGGAATGATACTTTTAAGGATATGGCTTAGCAGAACTCAGAGGTGGGCTGGAAGGCCATCAGGTTCCCACGGATGAGGACACGTTCTAAATGTACTACTTAGGGATGGGTGTCCTCCAATTGGTGAGATCATGCTGGCATTTGTAGGAAAAGCTGATGTCAGGGGCACCAGTGTAAAAAACATCACTCCTCATCCTAGAAGAATCCAGTCTGCTTAGGGCTATAGATGTGGCCACAAGAGGGCCCAACTCTGAGCCCATTAATTTACTGAGTACTTTTGATGACTCACTAGGACTAGTTGTAGATTCTTTCTCAGATAAAAGCCCAAACCTTCCATCTCCAGCAGAGGAAGACCTCACAAGTTGGGACATCTTTGATGGATGGTAGAAAACTTCCCCAATTTCAATGTGAGAGCCAAAGAGTCCCCTTGGTTTTCATGCCCTTTTTGTGAAAATATTTGGTGAATGTATGTGTCTGGCGTTGGCCATCAAAGCCAAGCTATCTAATGGCTTATTTTCTAAGGACCTTTCGGAGGTGGCCACTTCCATTCTCTCTGTGTGAAGATCTCTTTCTGTAGCCCAGGCTATAATTAAAACTTCATGAACTTTCTTATTAAGAATACTGATGTGGAATTTGTAGAATTTGTGGAATTTGTAGTTTTGTGTAATTTCTCTTCAAATTCTTGAATTTTGTCATTATACTTTTGATATCTTCTGATACTTTGGTTATTTCACTTTGTTTTCTTTTTTCTCCATAATTATTTTTGAAGCACTATGCAAGATTTTTATAAAAATATAATCTGGTAGTGTTAAAAATTATCTGAATTTCTCTTCAGATATTTGTTTATCTTCTCAGTCTGTTTTTAAGCAACTTCTTATGATCTCTTTATAAAGAGCAGATGTCAGGAATAAAATAGCAGTAATTATGTGTGTCTAGAACTCTTCCACTGTAAGACGTATGTGTGCATGTTCCAGTGGCTGCTGTTTTCCTCCTATGAGCAATGTCCCTTATCTATATTGGGCTCTGCTGTCTTCAGAAAGGTTCCTCTTGTGTAGTCAGTTTCTGACTTTTCGAAGTTTCATGGCATTGTTTTCTCTTCGCGGTTGAGGAGTGACCTGCAAGACACCTTCTTCCCTTAAAGGCTCTTCACCATCGTGGGAGCGGGGGGCTTTGCCAGAGTAAACTGCACCAGGACACAGGCCATGTTTTTGAGGCCTTTTTTCATAGCAGCCTCTGCAACCTCTGCAGGAATTTACAAATAGCAGAGTCTTGTGATACCCTCACCTACCGGTCCTGGGTGACCTATGCTTCCTCAGCCCCATCTTCAAAATGATGTTGCTATTAAGCCTCAACAGTTTCCTCTGATAGGACATATTTCTCATTTGTATAGTGATCCAGAAAACTCAAATGGTCATACCATCATAGTCGTTTAGACTTCAAAGCTGCTTTGGGGACCCCAGTTGGACAGGACACACAGGAAAGGATCAGCTAGTAAGCCAAAGACACTGGATGGAGGGGCTGGCACCAGACACAGTTTTGGGAAAATTGTAGTATAGAACCATAGCAGCAGAAAACCAAGAGGAGAAGCTGGGGGAAAGGATGCAAGGGAAGCTGTAGACCTCAGATCACAGACTGAGCCTGAGACCTATGAGATGATGCAAGTGTGAGGGGTTCCTTGAGAGAGTACCATGTGAAAGAAGTCATGGTGAAAGAAGCCAGGAGGAGGAGCAGAAGCCCGAGTGCCATCCTTTCATGTCCAGCCTCTCTCTGCTGGGCTCAGACCCTGGCAACTAACCTTTTATCAACCCCCTTTACCTGCCTGGCCAATCCCTGACCCTCCCCTGGGTAGTTCACAATGAGATCCTTGTGACTTCACCCCCCTCACCCAGGATTCCATCCCAGGAAATCCCCTCCAGCTGCCTCTGCTCATGAGAGACTCGCCCAGTCTCCTTGTCTCTTCCAGCTCTAACTTTCCTCTTATTCATCTCAATTAGGTGGAGCTAAATGTTCAAGTTTTCAGGAACCAGTAGTGAGGACTTGTTCCCAAGGATGCAAGGGTGAGCTGGGTCTGAGAAACCAACCAGAAGGGTTGCCCAGAAGCACTGGGTATGGATCAGAGACTTGGTCACCCCAGCAGCTCTGACTTGGCCTCCAGTGTTTGACCCCGCCCCTTTGAAGCACCATCCAGCACACTCTGCTGGGGTTTTATGATGACATTAAACAAACCTCAACTGCCTTGGCCACCCTCCAGTGTCCACCCTACTCCCTATCTTGTTAGCTGTCCAAGAGTTGACAGTCCAGATGTGCAGATGTGATGAGCAGGACAGGGAGAAACAGCCTCAAGGTGAGCTGCCTGGCCTTGGGAAGAAAGAGTGGAGGTAGGCTTGGACATGAGGAGGCAAGGCTCTGAGGTCTGGGGCTCTGAACCTGGGGATCAGGGCAGCAACAATGTGGAAACAGGAGATGGTATTCTAAGGAGCTTAAATGGGAGTACACAGACAGAGGCAGGTAGAAGGAGCCTCCATGTTCCTGTGTCCCCAGGGTCCAGCACTAGGACGAGCCGAGGAAAGACACAGAAGAGGAACCAGGAGGGGCTCCATCTATTTAATGAGTTATCCTTGGTGGAGTTGTCTTAGAACGGAGGAGACAGCCGAAGAGGAGGGGTCTTCCAGGCCAGAGGGCCATGTGAGCAGAGGGCTGGGCCTCCCACAATGACCATCTATGCAGCTCACGCGTTATGTAATGGTCAGGAAAGAGGCTACTTAATAGTTTTTTTCCTTTTAGAATAGTTAATATTCATGGAGACTCAGCAATCATCTTTAAGGCCTTCTTTTGGAATACAGCAATTCTCTCTTCCTGTCCCCAGGAACTTATCCTTCAGAAAGCCACTTTCTCATTGGTTTTCTTCTACATTGATCTCCCCACTGCCCCATGCCCCACCCCTGCCAACGCCCATTTAAACTGTTGCTGGTGTCCCGCTCCCCACCCTTCTGAGAGTGGTTACAGCTCCGCATGGCTGCTGCACATATGATGTGTGCAGGAGTTCTGTTCACGCTTGTCATTATTTGCTCTGAGGAGATGAGTTCTGGATGAGTGCTCTCAGTGAGTCTTTCTCTGTATTTTCTTTTCTGTGTTTTTGTGGTATCTTTGTACAGCTCTCTAGCTGGTTGTTTTTCTTAACTCATCTTGGAACGAGGTGAGCTTTTCCTGAATCACTTTTGTGTGTGTGTGAGGAAGATTGACCCTGAGCTAACATCTGTTGCCAATCTTCCTCTTTTTGCTTGAGGAAGATGGTCTCTGAGCTAAGATCCGTGCCAATCTTCCTTTACTTTGTATATATGATGCCACCACAGCATGGGTTGATGAGCCAGGATCTCTGCACCCAGGATCTGAACCTGCGAACCATGGGCTGCCAAAGTGGAGCATGCAAACTTAACAACTACACCACCAGGCCAGCCTCCTGAATCACTTTTTAGTAGAAAGTTCTTATAGGGGAGGGCCCAGCACTGTGGTCGAGGCTCTCAAAATTCATCAATACAAGTCAAGGTTTTTGCATCTGTTACTTTCCCCATTTTAATAAAATAAGACATCTGACTTCCTTGAGAGAATCTATAAAATGTATGTTGGAGGCAGGAAGAGAATTAGTTAAATAATCCCAGTGTAGCCGTCACTCAGCTTAAGAAAGAGAGTCTCTGTGTGCCCCCTCCCACCATCCTCTCCGTAGCCACCATTCTGAATTTTATTTTTATTCATCAGTTGCCTTTCTTTGTAGTTTGAAATCAATTCTTTGTCCTCTTAAAGGCTATATGAGATAGTTTTGCATATCTTTAATGTCATGGTTTTATATTGTATTATTTTTCTGTGCCTTGCTTTTGTTGCTCCATATCTTGCTCCTGCTGGCTCATCTCCTGAAAAGCTTTCAAGTTCACCTGTGTCTCTCCCTTTCCATCTCTTCTAACCTGATGCAAGCTGTTGTCATCACTTACCTCATCTATCTTAGAAGTCAAAACTATAATTAATGGATTCAACAAATATAATCAGCACAAATATATAGAAAAAGAAAAGAATCATAGAAACTAGACATGCTGTTTGTTGAATGTGTATATGATGGTTAGTACAGAAAATTATTGTTATGCTTGTTAACTTTTGTCCTTCAACAACTATTTAAATAAAGTTATGAATGAAATAGCAATTTGCCATGTCAAACACATATACCACATTCTGAACAAACACTGTATTTACTGATATTTGAGGGTTTTAATGTGACAAATAGGCTTGATTCTTGTTAGCTTAATTGATCTAGGTTGGGTTAATAATGACAGTACTAGCAGGGATAATTTTACCCAAATTCTTGCTTGGTTCTATTTAACTCCCATGCAGGTATGTTGGCAAGAATAGAATAAGAATTTTTGAACATGATACTAATTTTTTAACTTTTATCCGAAATGAAACAGGTGATGCAGTGTTTCAAAATTTATCTTCAATCCTTCAGTAACAAGCAGTTACTTGACTTCCCTGTAAAATTATAACTAAATGTAAATTATCTTTTACTGAAAGGAATGAGATCTGGATAAATGAATGTCAAGCATGGATATTCTTTTGATAGAAAAAAATCTTAATGTTCTATCAATTGCTAAGGCTTTGGGTGACAACCTTTGGCAGATGTGCGACATTAAGATCACCAACTACTTCATTGATCATTGTTGTTAAGTCATCGAACTATCTGCAGAAACCCTATTCTGCCAAGCTTCTGACTTGGGCTTTTGCCCTTCAACTTTATTTGCTATGGAAAGACATGTTGAATTTTTTCCTTGCAAGGCAGTAGTACTAAGATCATTAAAATGCCCAGAGTATTAGACAGTAAGCACGACTATCCAATTCCATCCTTAAAGTCAGAATCAAGCTGGTTGCTTACCTTGCAGAAACAGAGTTCATTCCACAGTGCAAACATCCTCCACCCAATTTTTGCCCTCAATCACCATGTACCTACACATATATTAACAGTTGTTTATGATCAGCTTCTACATTATTATCTGCAAAAGAAAATAGTCTTGAATTTAACTTAAAAGACTTTATAGAATGCATATATTTTCTTATTTAACTACAGAGTTTAGTTCAACTAGATTTTTCTTTTTTTATAACAAGACTCTTTAAATAAACAGTACTTGATTTAGAATGTCACAAACTTCTTAATCTAGATAATTATTCCAGAACATGGCCCTACTGTGTTCAGCAATTATGCAGCTCCTGCCATTTGTGACTCGTAACATGAGTTTGACAACACTGTCCCTGGTCTATACCTGGTTCAGTAAGACAAGTCCATTTAGATGCTGTGACACAAATCTCTATGAAAGTTCCTAAACGCTTGCTCTCAACTGCCGTACTTGTTTCATCCTAGATCTGTAGTAAAAATTCACTGGTCAGTAGTGGTCCACAGACCACACTTTGAATAACACTTCTTTAGGTATCATTTTCTCCCAACAGAAAGAAGTGACGTTTAGTTCATCTTCATAATTTGTACAAATCAAACTACAGAATACTGCACCGCACTTAGATTGCATTCAATAATTATTAAATAGACCTAAATGGTAAGGCTTTGTCATATTATATTCATGATAAGTCGTGATCTTCTACATCCAAGAAATCTTTTTACGTGGCTGCCTTTCGGTTCAAATCAAGAGGAAAGTTTATGCTGTCGTATTATCTTGAGTGTGCCTGTTCTTGATGAGCCCTCAACTCCTTGGTGGAGTCCATCAGAAGCTCCATTCAAAGCACAGTACAACCATTGATCCCTTGAAATCTATTCTCTTGTTTAATTTATCTATTCCAATTTCCCATTCCCTTGTTCCCTAACCTCCCCCAAAGGAAATAATTACATGTTTAATATGCCTTTTATTTCGTATGAGCTCATACAAAATGTATAGCGTTATAATGTGTGCGTATGTTTTAATTTCCATTAATGCTACTGTGTGCTGTCATTTTGTTACTTGATCTTTTAGTATTAAATCTTGCTCTAGACCACGCCAAGAGCACCAGGCTTGTTGGCACATTAGTGGGTTTTTGTTTTTTTTTTTTTAAAAAAGGAATCTAACTAGATTAGTGGTCAGCAACTACTGCTGGCAGGCCAGATCTGGCCCTGTGCTTTTTTAGGAAAACAAACCTTTGCTGGAACACAGTCATGCCCATTTGTTTGTGTACTATCTAGGAATGTTTTCAGACTACAATGGCCAAGTCCAGTAGTTGCCACAGAAACCGTATGACCTAAAACACTAATTATATTTATTATCTGACCCTTTACAAAAAGTTCACAGACCCTTGTACTGGATGATCCATTACAATTCTCATACTCTCATTTTCCAAAATCTTCCTTTTCTATCGCCATTCTTGCTGAGAGGGATTCAAGCTAATGGAGGAAGACAAAGAAGCGAGCATTTGCCAGGTCTTCAGAGATTTTCCGAGGGCCACTTTCCACTTCAGGAACTCCACTTGTGGTTATACGACAAGGCCTAAGCACTGGCAGAGCCAGCCACACGTTTGAAGCGCTCCCTCAACAAGTTCTGTGTTAACTTTTCTGGATTTTATGGGCTTGAACAATGAAGTCGTGATGTCTAAGACTGCTTTTTAAATCAGTCCCTTAACTAACACTGAGTGGAAAAAGAAGCTGATCTCAGTGAGAACTGTTTCTCACTCTTTGTTACTGACAGTGTGCCCTTATATTTTTTAATACTAATTATGGATGGCAATTGTTATCTATATTATAGATTATTGTAAAAGGCTCCAGGCTTTGGGGAAAGC